CCCAACTTCGCTGAGCACTTGATCTTTATGTTGTACAAGTTGTATGTGAATTTATTACACACTGATTTATATCATAGAATATAAGATTGAGAAAAATAAACTTACATCTTTTATTTACTTTTTAACTCATAAATTCAAATATGTTTTTTTCATTTTACGCAATGAAGCTTTAGGTATTTGTTAAATATTTCTTAATTTTAGTTCAAAGTGTCACAGTTAAAAATCATTAAAATAACTGCATTATTTTGTTTCATTATAAAAATCAATTTTTATAGACGTCTAATAAACTTGAAACTTTGAAATATATTATAGTTTGAGGTTAAGGTGCCAATTATTGTATGGTTCACTCTATATTCATGAAATCTGTACTCAAATTAATTGCATCATTTCATTCTACGATATAAATTAATTTTCACAGTGGTTTCGTATAACACACGACTTCATTGAATAAACCTGACACTTCGAAACAAAATTTCAGCCTAAGGCGCCAATTATTGTATTCACTCTATATTCATGAAATCTGTACTCAAACTAACTGCATCATTTCATTCTACAATATAAATGAATTTACACACTGTTTCAGTACAACACTTTCAGTATAGTACAAATTCGTTAAATAAATCTGCAACAAATTTTCAGGTAGCAGCTTAAAATGTAAATTATTATATTGTTTACTTTATAATCATAAAATCTGAAAATACATATTTCATTCTACAATATAAACCAATTTCCGCTTTATTGTATACGAAGTGTAATGGATTCGTGATATTTATTGCATGGGTTCGTCTCCATTTGTATAAAAGCTCTTCATTAAGAAGCTTCGAGGAAATAATTCAGCAGGAGTAATTGAATGGCTACGAAGGAATTACGTTCAATTACCCGGGTACGAGGATAATCGTATGAAACAGCTGGCAGAACTGTCGTTTAGACGGTGCACCGTTAATTCGAGAAAATGAAACCGAGATAAGATTTTAGTTATTGTGCCGATGGCGTGACGCGCGTTCGCGTGCACCACGTTTGACCCTTCGCACGACATTTTTGTCGTGTGTCCGCTTAGCTTCTTTTCTTACCGTTCGATGCTAAGCTTCGAACGTTTCCACGGAACGTGCTTGTTTCTACTAGAAACACGCTCCATTCGCGTTAAAAAGAGACTGCTTCGTTCGAGACTCAATTAACATTTCCGTGAATCGCATGCAAAAATTCACCCACTCTTTTGAGTCCATTTATCTCGGTTAATTTCACCGGAAGAAGTTGTGTTGCTAATTGTGTTACTTACAGCCGAGATAGCACGTTCCACGAATTATATTAATTTGTAGTCATTTGTACTTTTACTCTTGAAAGACTCACAAGGTATATGAATTTCTCTTTCTGCTCTTTGAACGTAATTTCGCTACATGGTACTGTCGGTTTGTTAACAATTTCAAAATACGTAAATTAGTAATTTCCTGAACTTATGAATGACTTTGTCAATTTCTGAATTTCTAAATTGAACATAAACTTTGACTTCGAAACTCAAGATGGTCAAAGCTACTTTGGACCAAATTTAAAAAACATACTTTCAATGTACAATATATCACTGTTTCACAAAGAACATTTTCAACAAATTAATTCATAAATCCACCTAGCAAAAGGTTTTTCACAAACCCAATTACACAAAAGTCAAAGTAAAAGTAAATATCTCAGAAAAGCAGTCTCAAAACAAGAAACTCGAGCAAAGGTAAAAAACGCTGGAATAAAATGTCCCCCCGTGGCATTGCTCCCATTGTTAGAATTATATCACGTAATAAAGTTAGTCCTATACTAGCTTCTTGTAAAAACGATCAATGACAACAGGAAGATACAAAACTCTGAAAGTACATAAGAAGGAAGTATCATATATTACATGATTCGTAATTGTAAACTTGTAACGTTTAGAAACCAGGACACGTTTCCTATTTTCCAATTAAACTAGCTATGATTTATCCAAGTTAGCCGTTCTCTCCACAAGGTACAAAGCAATTATCTAGATTAGTACCGTGTTGCACGATGTGATGTGCAATTAATAACGACGTATCCCACTTCTGACCTTCTAGAATTGGTCGGGATCGATAGTATGCGGCGAGACAACTCCTTGTTGGCTTATGTCTGCGTATAAATACCGTACTTGTACTAAACTCGATGGAATCGGGTCAATGAAATAAATACCCGTTTCCAATAACTAACCAGACACTCGTAAAACCTCTCGTGCCATTTATGCTTTAATTTTCGTGTATTTTGTAAATGAACTTCGTACAAAATCTGCTTGTACGACAGAGAAGAACTTTTTGGGAAAATCTTCAAAGGAAGCTGCAAATAAGATTTTCTTTCCAACTGAGAAAATGGAATTCTGCGAAGCACGAGATACGTTTTGTACAAAGCGTCGATGCTTTCAAGTTTGTAATCAGTGAGAATCACTTCGTATCAGAAGATATAAAAGTTGAATAACGTAATTATTTTAAAGCTTGTCATGGTTGTAATGTAATTCAAGCGTTAAACGTCACGTGAAACTGCCTTGTTAACCACGGTACAATATTGTATTCCCGTTTAGATTATAATCGTGATCACGAATGCTACGTTTCATAAGGGTTTAATCTTTCGATCTAAAGTTACAAGGTATATCCTCGCGTTGTAAATTCCCTCGCAGCAAAATGAACCAGCTCGTAAAACGGAAATGTTTTTCCGATATATTTTGCATTACTGCAGCCATGGGTGCCATAGTCGCGATCGATGAATGGCAATTCTTCAAGATTCAAAGTACACGTCGATACAGTGGAATAGGAAAATAAGGGCGAACAGCTCGCACTTTTCACTAAGATGCACGTCGATACCTCTTTCAGCTTTTTACGTATTACATCTTCTGCTATACGATGAATACGTCTATCCCTTTGGAACACTCTAAACGATTACGTGATCTATCACTCTAGTATCTCATGAAAATCACTTTATCCGATCGTGAAACCAAATCTTTATAAATTTTTAGATTCTTAATTTTTACATTTACAAACTCACATACAAATTCTTAAATTTGCAACTTCTTAAATTTATCTATTTACTTAAAATTTACCTAATTAAATTCGTAAATTCTTAAATTCATCTATTTACTTAAACTTTATCTAATTAAAGTAAATTCTTAAATTTACAAATTACTGTCGATGTTACGATCTTACGATCTCCAATAATGATCTCAGATATATATTTTCGTCAAATATTTTATTATTTCGAATAATGCAATTTACTCTGACGAAGTCGAAGTTAAACGATCGACAACTGGCTGATAACTTATTTCACGTATACATAGGTGTTCGAATCGCGACATAAACACAGGCGAATGTATTTACATTTTTATCGAATCTCGGTCACCACGTGAAATAAAGGCAGTGTACGACGTAACGATAATACCGTGGGACGTGAACAGCTGCACGGTGAGCGTGCTTGAAATCGAGACTAAGTGGCCTTACTTCGTAAAACATCTACCTTGATGTTTCAGCGCAGAGGGTGGCCGCGATGGATCTCTTTCTTTCCTCGCGAGATACCCTCTATGCCGGCGATTATGTATTTAATATCGTGAGAGATGCATCCACTTACGGGAGATGCGTTTTACCGGTATTTTGCTCGAGACCACTACCGCAGAATTTGCATAGAAGTCGTTAACCTCTGCACGATGACACTCTTTGTTGGAAAATGCTTCCCTATATTACCATATTGTCTAATTTAACACCCGTGCATAGCATTCTTTAGAAGAATTAATTAGGCGGTAAGATTGTTTCTGTTCGTGGTTTACTTTTCGAGAAGTGTGAATTGAAAATTTTTGACAGAAATTCAACGCACGGTTTCGTTACTCTACTCATGTGTTCTACTCGTATGTAAAACAATGTACACAATATTTGTAACAATATCTTTTAATTTTTATCTGTATTTAATGTTTGTATACATTTCTCTTCGCAAAACGGAATTTCTTATACGCGTAAAATACGGTGATATAGGATCGCACATAACCTATGTAACTGTTGATAGATTTTGCTTACCTTGTATGATGTACGGATGCCGTTTGATGTTTGCCTTCGTTGACTGTTTCTCGAACCACCATTTACGACCGGTTAAACATCATAAACAGGCTGTTCCGTTCTAATCAATTGTCACAATACAACAGTTTGATTAATTGTCCCGCGTCACACTATTCGCACTGGTACACACTGTCCCCGTTAGCAATATTCTTCCCATGATTCCTTGCGCGGGTGATCCGCAAGTATCCCGCCAATAATCGGTGGCGCCAAAATATACACAGTTTACGATGAATTCGTGTCGCGCTATTCACACTGGTACACGCTATCCCCGTTAGCAATATTCTTCCCATGATTCCTTGCGCGGGTGATCTGCGAGTATCCCGCCAATAATCGTTGGCGCCAAAATATACGCAGTTTACGATGAATTCGTGCCGCACTATTCATACTGGTACACGTTATCCCCGTTAGCAATATTCTTCCCATGATTCTTTGCGCGGGTAATCCGCGAGTATCCCGCCAATAATCGGTGGCGCCAAAATATACGCAGTTCACAATGAATTCGTGTCGCGCTATTCGCACTGGTACACGCTATCCCCGTTAGCAATATTCTTCCCATGATTCCTTGCGCGGGTGATCTGCGAGTATCCCGCCAATAATCGTTGGCGCCAAAATATACGCAGTTTACGATGAATTCGTGCCGCACTATTCACACTGGTACACGCTATCCCCGTTAGCAATATTCTTCCCATGATTCTTTGCGCGGGTGATCCGCGAGTATCCCGCCAATAATCGTTGGCGCCAAATTGTACGCAGATCGCGGTGAATTCGTGTCGCTCTCGGTGGTGAAAAATTTCTTTAAGAATACAAAATGTTAGGCAAAAAGAAAATATACTGGTGAGAAATATTTCAAAGTATTTTCTATAAAAACGAGCTATGAAAATTGAACTAATATTAATGAATTACGTTCTGTATGTTTAGGTATTACACTTCATGAGAAGTAAGCTGTTTCAGTGACAAATCGTGTAAACTTTTCCTGGACTTGTGTTTTCATACGGACACTTTATACATAAGTTATTTTACACATCAGTATCATCATCATTGTCATCAGTAAGTACACATCATCATGCATTTCATATTCTATTTAAGTAGAAGTTCGATGTTCTTTTGTATCGAGTAAAGTGTCACAATTTGATATTGAGGTTAAGTGCTGAAATGATCACTGAAAAATTTGTGTTTGCAAATAAATTAGAAATAAATCCAGAGGGTGAAAACAATCAGCTTATTTTAAAGTTTGAGAGATCTATATTTTCAAATGCAGAAGATTGTATATTAGTATTAAATTGTTACACTTCTAAGAAAATGCTATTTATTTCGCGTAACATGAGATATAGTTTAAAGTACAATAGAGTTTCGTAATAAAATCGTGGTACAGCATGTTGAACTGAGTTTTCGGATAATCGTAGAGAATTGAAACAAAGCGAAGCAACATAATAGATAATAACACAATAGAGGACGGTATTAAGTATGGTTTAAAGCGGTCTGTTCTGTAAAAATGAATTATATAATGCTTTTACCTTGTTAACTGAGAAAAACCTATACACATTACATTCGTAATATATCGTTGACAAAATGAATTATGTTCTCTTTATCCGTTGCTTGATACGCGTTTTTAAGTAGAAAAAGTTGATTACATTAATAGATTAAAAAAGGGAGAACGATTCTTTGATGAGTTGATCAAGATACAAACGTTACAGAAATGCAAATTCGCCTTATCAAAATTATGCGTACCGCTTTAGCGCTGTCATGTAATTTCGCCGTAATTTCGCATGGTAATTATATTCCTGTTTTCTCGCCTAACGAACAGATCGTGTTATATCCAATATGTGTTGCAACCGCGTCGTAAATTTTTAATAATTATCAATAAAATAATAAATTGCTAATCTGCGTGTTCAAAAACTGCGCAAAATTGATTTCAAAGGATTCACCTCACATTTTGTTTCATTTTATTCGAAACATGAATTGATTGTTACGTGGTTATGCCATGCACGTAATTACTGTTTTAAAGCGATCGTTTTCGTTCGGATATAACGCAAATCCGCCTCTTTTATATTTTACACAAATGTTTGCATTGGATAAATTAAAATACTTTCAGTTGGAAAATTTATCTTGTTTAGCCGTTACCGGGTCACTTTCAATTCGTGTCGATAACGTGAAATGTAACGGATGACGATGTAATGATTGACGATATAACGCGTAGGTAATGCAATATATCGATGAAATCATACGTTGGCTGTACTGTACATAAGTGGTGCAACGCGTAGGTGATATAATGTATAATGATTTAATGCATGGCGATACATAACATGTCATAATTTAATGCGTGGTAATATATGTATAATGGCTGGTAATTTGACGCGTGGTGATCTAATTCTTAGTGATCGAAAGAGTGGCAATATAACGCGTGGAGATGTAACGCGAGACGATTTAACGCGTGGTGATGTAATTTGTGGTAATCTAACGCGAGGTGATATAACGCGTGGCAATTTAATTTGTGGCGATATAACGCGTGGTAATATAACGCGTGGTAATATAACGCGTGGTGACCTAATTCGTGATAATTTAACACGTGGTGATATAACGCGTGTAGTTATTACGCGTGGCGATATAACGCGTGGTAATATAACGCGTGGCAATATAACGCGTGGCAATATAACGCGTGGCAATATAACGCGTGGCAATATAACGCGTGGCAATATAACGCGTGGCAATATAACGCGTGGCAATATAACGCGTGGCAATATAACGCGTGGCAATATAACGCGTGGTAATATAACGCGTGGCAATATAACGCGTGGCAATATAACACATAGTAATATAACGCGTGGCGATATAACGCGTGGTAATTTAACACGTGGTGACATAACGCGTGTAGTTATTACGCGTGGCGATATAACGCGTGGCAATATAACGCGTGGCGATCTAATTTATGTTGACTTAACGCACAGCGATCTGACGCATAGCGATCTAATGCATAGGAATAGTAAACATAGATCCGTGCAAGAGTGGCAATATATCAAGAGTCTACAGTACAATATTCACTCGTGTTCAAATACTATTGAACTGATCACGTTACGTCACTTACTTTATGGTTTCAATTGCACCTTTTCTAAATGTACAGTCGGTTTATCGACCGACCTAGTCGACCCATATACCCAGCATTATTGTTTAATGACTTCTCGCCGAGACACGGTCAAAAAATAAATACATTAAATTAGTTAAACCCTTTTTATATTTTTATCCGTGATCCCTGTAGTCGGACATTCCTTTTCAAACATATGATTTGCCTTTGTAGTCACGTTTCGACTGAAATTAAGAGTCGTGAACCGCGACGAGAATAAAAATTATGTTTCACTGAAAACTATAGAAACAAAGACAGGTACACCCTTTGTACCTTGATCGTAATTAAACGTTCTCTGAAATAGCAGCTAAAGTGCGAGAGGGCGAAACTCATAGAAATGTAAGTCACGTAATCGTTGTTTTGATAGACGTAAGGCTCTATTACATCGATCGAACATCTGTTACGTTCGTACGTTCTACTGAATAGTTCTACTGTCTATCGTAGTTCAAGCGACGACCTGTACTACTTTCTCATCCGACAAACGGACGTAGTCACATTGACGTTTGATAGTTTGGAATTATTTATATCATTTCGTTAAAGATTTGTATTAAAGATACGCAGATAAAATAATCGGAAAAGCTTTGTTAAATGACGAGAATTATGTCGGTTGAGAGGCACATAATGCACGATGGGAATCATTTTATTTTGTGGTTACCTGAACCGGCTTAATCGGTCGATCAAAGATCAACGAGCATGGAAACGGTGATCAGACGGCGTGAACGGACGATTACGTTTGAGAACGAGGAAATCGATAAAATTTCTCGTGCCAGTAACGAGAACGCAATTATCCTCGGACGTCCTGAAATCGAAATATCGATTACACCTCGAAGTAAAAGCTCTGAGTCATAGCGGTTGGTGTCTCTCTCGGCGAGCGTCTTGACGTCAAGCACACTCGTGTTGTCGAATGGCTATGAAATAGTAATCAACGTCTCGTCTAAACGGTCCCTTTTTATACTAAAGGAAAACTTCTACAAGAAAATATCGAATGTAAGAAAACTACATTTTGTAGCTCTCTGAAACGCGATGAAACTGCGGCATTTTTCTCTTTCAACCACGGATATTCTTTTATCGGAATCCTGACCTCCTCGTACTTCACGAATATCGCAAAATGTCATTTTCATTTAATCTGGGCAGCTATCCAGAGAACACATTTCCCGATTGAATACCGATGAAATGTGTGTATTCATCTTTGTATCTCAAATATTCCATTCGATTCGTATGATTTTTAACATATATACTGTTATGATGAAAATCACGTATTTTTCACTGTTTTTATTCGCTGTATCACATTTCCAATTCATTGATTAATCACTTTGCCTTTAATATTCGATCTTTCAATTTTCATATTTCAATATTTAATATTTTATAATTGAATTTTTAATTTTGATGTAACCGCCTGTTTTTATAGATTCAACAAACCCTTGCAATTTCTGTTGCACAAGTTATATCTAGTCTTTTATTTATGTGCATTGTCTAACCAAAGGTGACACGAATAGTGCTAAATCCGACCCACTTAGTCTTCGTCAACCCCATTGAACAGCACATGCTAACATTCCATTTCACACGACTACAAATGCAAGTGGTCATGTCCATTCGAATGTGTTTATATCCCACGGGAATCTATCGAAGTTTGTCTTCTTATCTTCCGATCGTGTTGAATCGCGTCTACCAGCGAGTATCCGTGCTCTGAATTCCCAAAACCGAAGATCCAGCACGTCGATTGCCGGAAACGATTATTCCCAGTCGTTTCCATTTCCTCTAACGAACATATTTATGGGGATTCGACCAGATACAGCGGCACGAAGCACAATATTTCCTAGGAACATATAACAGCTACTCCTATCGGCGACATATTCACTAACGCAAGAATGTCTGTACACATACACGTTCTTGTGCACAGGGTGTCTCGATTTCATTCATTAACTTCTAAATACCAATTTAGAAATTTAGACTCATTTTTATGGCGATGTTGGTAATCTTTTGCGATGGACACAAATAGACTGATCAGTATGGTAATAGGTCAAATAATTCGATAATTGTTTGACTTGTATTACCTCAATTTAAAGCTCAACGTTTATTAAAAATTATCATATAAGCAAGTCTGCATCGAATTTGTGAAATTTCATATTGCCATTTCGAGTGAGCTTCGTGCTTTTCTGTCCATTATACTATTTTACGTACTGTTGTGAAACGAAATCAGACATTTAAAACTCGATATTTCACTTCATGTAATAAATGTCCCACTATGATCTCTAAATCAATCTGCATAAAAAGATAATTCATCTACACGACCTACATCTACAATTACAAATGAAATATTATCACAAGATTTACTGTTTGCAATGTTAGAATGAGTACGTTATGAGATATATTAATAGCGACATTAAAATTGACTCACCCGGTACGTGAAGTCGAAGAAAGAAGAGCAACACACGCGACCCGAATAACTTTGCACCTGGAATGAAGCGTATTGGACCCGAAGGATCTACTTGGACTTAAATGAGTTCGTTCGATCTTTTTTTATCGCACAGAAGAAGAATATAGGTGAAAGATTATAAGCATTCTGGTGCGGGTTCATCGAATTAATTTCACATAACTCTCGCAGACAGGCCATCACTCGTATTCAATCTTTTTTTGGAGGAAAGTCTTTCCTTCTGATATAGGTCACTCCGATAGACTCCATTCGACGCTCTGCAAGATTTATGCAATCCTGAATAATTCGGACATCTTTACCGATGATATCGTGACTTTAATTGTGAGCACCGTGTCTTTTATTTTCTTTATTTACTTTACTGCTTTGTAATTACGTTGTAATTTGACAAATTTTATATTGAAATTCTGTAGTGTACATTATTATTGTAATAGAAATTTTGAGGCGATATGGGGTGGACAAGATGAAGGGGGCTGGTATGAATACATGGCGACTGGA